GACAAGAATAAGAGACCCTTCAATAAAAATTTCCTCAGAAACACATTAGGGAAATAAGGCCAGAGTAGCGCCTCGCCTGAGTTGCCAGGGCCTAGTCCGCCGAACCGAGTGAACCCTGAGGAAAAGTTCAGCCTCAGAGTAAGCGAAGAAAACAGCGTTATAACCGCGAAGAGTTTGGGCATATTCAGTCAAATTGTATGAAAAACAGGAATAGAAATGGAAAAGATGATGAACAGACCAAAAAAATATACTGCTTAAAAACTGTGGAAGCCACTGAGGGAAGTTGTAACAATGGTTCTGTCTCCATGGCAACTGGTACGACAGAAAATTCTGATCTGCCATTAGCCAGGGTCGTTCAGTGTTTTCTTGTAAAGACAGAAGATACTTTAGTACTGTACAGAACCCTGGTGAAAAGATTCTTATTAATGAAAAGTCTTATGTGGAAGTTGTTGATACCTGCTCCAACATAACTCTGTATCATCCTGATGTGGCTCCTAGAGAACAAACACTTCCAAACCAAATCATTACAATCAAGGGAACAAGTTCTACTCCAGTGACTTTACCTATGGCTAAAGTAAAGATGAACTATAGAAATTGGGTTGGAATTTGGGATGTGGCAATTTCTGATCAAATTCCAGAACCTTGTTTAATCTAGCTAAATATCACTAAGCATGTGCAGAGTGCTTTTGGAATAACATGTTCCCTGGAAGAGCAGTTAACAATCCCTGAAGGAAGAATGGAATCCCTAACCTCTGAATCAAACAAGGGATGCCTCAGGTTAGAGAAGAACCCTGAGGTAGCAGAAATGGCTGATAAGGTCAGATGGAAAACCCCTAAGGATACTTCCTGTATTGATGAACTGAAGGAAAATGTACTTTAAATAATTTTATTACACAGGTTAATGAGAATCCCCTTCAACTGACGCTCTCAAGAGCACAGAGTGCTGTCCTCTGAAGATGGCAGCCACAGAGACTGGCAAAACATTAGGAAGAATAACCTACAGAACATGGCCAAAGAGCCTGAAAAACCCACAAAAACCACTGAAAGAATATACTTATGAATTATCCTAGAAAACATCTGTAATTAATAAACCTGTTCTATTAAAGTCAGTACTGAATAGACCTTCATCATTTCTAAGTAAAGTACGTTGATAAGGAGAACAACTGGTGGCAGCCTGTCAAGAGGTTTTTTTGGTTTGCCTTTGTGAGCTCTGTGTTTAGGGAGACAAGCAGGGGCCACAAGGGGGAATGTCACAGTGGTGCTGCGGGTTAAATTGCAGAAGCCTCTGAGCTGCAAGGTCAGAAGACATGCAGTTGTAAGATCGAACACACGCAACGGAGTGAGCTCCCCTGTTGCTTGTCCCAGCCCCTGCCAACCTAGCAGTTTGAAAGCATGTAAATGCGAGTAGATAAATAGGTACCACCACAGTGGGAAGGTAATAGCATTCCATGTCTAGTCACGCTGGCCACGTGACCATGGAAAGTGTCTATGGACAAACGCTGGCTCTATGGCTTGGAGACGGGGATGAGCACCACACCCTAGAGTCAGACACGACTGGACAGATTGTCAAGGAGAACCTTTACCGTTAAAAACTGAATATAATCCTAGGACAGCCACTTTTCTGAAATGTTTAACTGTATTTTAAAACTTTTTACAAATCAAAATAAAACTGATGCCTCAGGTTGTTACAGCCTTGCAAGAATAGAAGGGACCTGAAGGCAATATATAGTTGCTTGATCTCTCCTGGCTTAATATTCTCTTCCCTGAAAATGCTCCAGAAATACAGTGGTGCCTCGCTTAACGGGCGCCCCGTTCAACGACGAAATCGCATAGCGATTAACTTTTTGCGATCGCTATGCGATGTTCCCTATGGGGAAAAATCGCTTTGCGATTATCGGTACCCTGTTTCGCTTACCAATCATCGCAAAGCGATCATTTTTTAACAGCTGATTGGCGGTTCCAAAATGGCCACCGGGTTAAAAAAATGGCCGCCCACTGTTTTCTGGGACGGGTTCCTCGCTTACCGGGCAGCGAAAATGGCCGCCATATGGAGGATTTTCACTTAAAGGTGAGTCTGAAGCCCATAGGAACGCATTGAAGGAGTTTCAATGCATTCCTATGGGCTTTTTAATATCGGATAGCGACGAAATCGCTTTGCAGCAATTTTTGCTGCACTGATTATTGTCGCTATGCGAGGCACCACTCTACTGTACTATTCTGTATCATCCAGTGTATCATTCACTATAGGAATTGAATATAAGCAAGCAATAGAGATAATGTCACATGAGAATGCAGAAAAAAAGAAATCCATATGGCTTCAAATAGGTGACTGCATTATATATGACTCTGAGTGGTCTTTGTTTTATTTTATTTTTTTGTATTAACAAAGGCCATAAAGCAAAAGTTACTAAATATTACTTTCCATCTCCCCAAATACCAAATATTGGGAACAAAAAAAGGGAAATTTGCAGCACAGTTTTCCTCAGAGAAGCTTTTCTAGCACTCCAGAATCTATAGTTATTGCTCTACTATCTAAACTGAGAAACTACATTTAAAATTGTTTAAAAAAAAGTTTAGTTCTAGAGGTACAAATCCAGCTCTAGTGATGGCTTCTAGTCTTGCTTGTGACAACTGACTTGTTAGTATCAAAAAAATCTTTCTGACATGTTTGCTAGCTCGCTTCCTACCCAACCGAGCCCTACTTCCTCCTCCTCTGACGGATTTTTCCTCTGTTTCACTTTGGCAGTGTGAAGATTAAAGCTTATCCAATTAGCCACCCATAGCTTTTGCCAAGTTAATCACTTAAATCTTTGAAATTGTCACAGCACAGTGGAGTGTGCAGATACCTTTTGATTATAGGAGCAGATTTAACTAAAGACTTAACAATGTGCCCAAATATAAAAGATGTTGGGGGGTTATAATCAAGGGTTGTGCTTCTACTTAACAAACAGCAGCTTATCTTCCCAATTGCATTGTTTCACTGGTTCAGTCTTGTAACATTTCCCAAGTAATTCGGATTAGTCAATCAGACCTTTCCCTAGACCACACATTAAGACTTTCAAGCCTTAGAAAAATCAGCAGGAATGATTTTTTTAAAATGCAGATCAGGTGACATTGGACTGTGTGATTAACCACATTTTGTCTTGCAGATATGACACTATAGTAATAATCTTTGAAGTGTTTTGAGTGCCTCAACCAAGATTCACAAATTGTGACTAAATAGGATTTATGCATTTTGAAAACTACTGGGTATACTACAAAGGACTCTCTCTGGAAGCAATATACAGTAGTAAAATGTTTTCATTTTTCACTCCAGGGTGCTACTTTCATTTTCTCCGCTTATATTGAATCAAGAGAAGATATTCATTGAGTACATCATCTGAAGGGCTTGGAGCAAGGTTTTCTAACATTCAATATACATACACCAAAAATTAATTCAAAATATATGAAGCCATCAAAGGCTGTACCTCTAAGTAACATACCACTGAAAACAGCCACAGGGAAAGCTTTTCAGCATTGCTGAAATCTATTTGGGTCTTGGCTGGCCTTCACTTAAAGACAGTTTCACAACTCTGTGGTGGCTCTCTGAATAAGGGAGATGTTTTAGAAAGATCGTTTTAACCATGGCTAACATTAGTTACGTGTTCAGGAAGGTTTCTTCTAGATTCTTACACTGTATATCCACCTAATTTTAAATTCACTTCCTACCCTCACTTCAGCACCATCAGGTTCTCTGAGAAACAAAAGACACATCAAATCCCATCTCAAAGCAAAAGCAGCACCACTAATGTTGCTGCTATGGCCTATTCTAATACTATTCTACTATTTCCCTTCTAACTCTTCTTTTTCAACTTAAACAGTAGTAGAAAGGCTAAGGGGAGAGAGTCCAGCCTTTCAGAAACATCATCCTGACCAGGCTGGAATGCCAATGGAGAGCTGAAGAAACCAAGGTGATAGGCTGAAAACATTTCCATATTTCCTGGGCTACCTACAAGAATAGCTGTCTCAACTGCTATTACAGGAAATTAGAGATGGGGGCTTATAACAACAGAGATTTTTAAACTCGCACTGTGAAAACCGTATCATTTTTGCATTCAGCAAAGTGTAGATTATTAGATTGGCAAGAATCTTGCCTGAGAGTCCTTTTCCCCCCATGCTATGTTCTTTGATCCGCAGTGTACCAGAGCCAGGACACACATGGTTGAAACACTATGATGTTTTGATTAACAGAGATGACTATACTATTTGCTAGCCCCCTTCAAGAGCCCCTGTCTCCTCTACATTCAGCTGCAATCTTCAGGCATCTTTAGATGCACTTTTAATGGCGGCTCTACATCATTATGAACACAGCATCTCAAAATAGGGCTTGGCCTTGACTGACTAACTGATTAAAAAGATCGGCTCCTGGCAGAGATAAAAATTACTACAACTTGTTTGCTGATATGAATCAACATAGCAGCCTGCAGGTTGCAAGGTTATGGAAAGTGTTGTGACACTTACCTTCCAATTATACTATTGCACTGCTGTACTAGGATATCATTCTCTCTTTATTACTTCATTTATTATGTAGATTGGCTGTTTTAGATTCCCAACAAAGAGTTCATATCCTCTTATAACCATAAATGAAAGGAATCCCATTCTAAAATTCAATTCAATTAACAAATTACACAGTATCCAAATACATAATATTTGGCCCTCAAAAAACTATGGATGGCTTACAATTGGCACTCAACAATATGCATGCAAGATCCATCCACTGAAAAAGACAAGTCAAAGATGTTGGGATATTAACTGAAACTCAATTGAGGAAAATATTTTGAGTTGGGAGAAGTAACTTTATTCAGGCAGCTATGCAAATACCAATACCCTTCTGGTTACTGAGAGCTGCTGTTTCCTAATTAAGGCTGACAATGCTGAAAGGTAAACTACTTTGACACCACCTAAAGTAATGCCCTGATCTGCATGATGGCTCAAGATGTCACTTAAAACAAGAATTAGAAGCACTAAGGCCACTGTACCACACCAAGAGAACTCACATTAAAGCAGATTTCAAAGGATGTAAACTCATTGAGTGGTGACCAAACATAAACAAAGATTAATTTTGAGAATGCCTTCACAATTGCACTCCATGAGGACAATAAGATATGTGATCACTGATGCAAAAAGGTTAATGAAGGAGATGACTATGGCTGTGGAGGGGAGAGTAAAGCAGATTTCTTAAAATGAGCGATGTACTTTTAGCACTGAATCAAATGTTTTCTTTTAAAGGCAGTGTGAAAGTATTCATATATTCAAAATAAACCTTGAAGACTCCACTAACACACACACACATCCACAGATATCTAAACTCCAAACGAAACATGCACCTGAACATGCTGAATATGATGAACTAAATGATGAATGATTTTTTTAAAAAGAAATCATAGAACTCTGCAACAACCAGAGTAGGGATGCAGATCTATGGAAGGAAAAAATGCAACAGCTTTTGTAGTCAAGCAATCCACAGCCATATCCACTGTTCCGTATAATTTCACCAGCTTCTGTACTCTTTTTGCCCTCATATCATGCTTATTTTATATATCTCACTTTAGATCAGAAAAGTAAGAATAGCAGAGGGAAGCCATTTGCTCCCCCTGTTGGCATTTAATAGTACCGATTCACAACATCCCCAGAACATATTTTAGGACCTCATTTGTGTATTGCTAAAGCATGCAATCAACAGCAATTCAGCACAGACAACCCATCAAAATGGAAGCCATTGCCTGACTAATTTTCCATGCTCAGTTAAACTAGCTAAATGCAAAATCCAACACACAGGAGAGATGTGGGGATTTGAGCTGCTTACCGGGGATTACAAGAGCATAAAACAATTAACGGATTAGATATTCTACCATGGTTTCTTCTCAGCAGCACAGAGAATCCAAAACACATTTTTCTCCACCCAGATTGTCTTCAGTTTGCAGACATGCTTTAATCATCTCGTTTTGAAAAAGTGGGGCAGCTTATCAAATCCTATCTGCCTCCATTGCAACTTGTAAATATTTCCATCAATTCTCACTTACTTAGCTCAGGGCTAGTACAATTTTAAAATACAAACATTAAGAATTACTACAAGAGTCAATGGGCTAAGAAGAATACAAATATCACAACTTACACTGATTTACCTGAATGATACTACATGATATTTTCCCTTTTTGAGATTCTGCTGCAATTGCCTTTCTGACAGCAAAGACCACCACAGTGCCCACATTTAGGCAGCCGAGAGGGAAGGTTTGCTGGAGGAGTTCAAATGGGAGGCAGGCTGCAGCTTTGGACCAAATAGCTTTCTGTTTCTTAACCAATTTTAATCCCCTCTTATATGTGTATCCTTCCAGAATGTGAAAATAATCCTGTCTAGACTCAACTATGCCTGGCTACTTTTTGTTTATCTACTCTCCTCTCTTTAGAGACTCTTTGAATCTGATCTGCATTCTGCTTGGCGTGGCATGCATGTCTATCTTTAACACAGCTCTGCTAGAATCTACTTTGGCTTGATTCTAGTTCCTGAGCCATTTGGATCAGGAATGGGCAATATGCAACCCTCCAGAGGCTGCTGGATGCGAGCTCTTACTAGCCCCATCCAGCATAGTTAGTGATGAGTGATGTTAGGAATTGTAATCTGGAAGACCACAGATTCCCTATTTCTGACACTGAGAGAAACTGAGTCAGATTTTTTATTACTATTGCCTTTGATGTGGACTCTTTCTCTAATATTTGATTCTAAAAGCAACACCTGCCACTTGGTTCCAGCAAACCTGTAATCCAAAAGACAGCAACAGTAGCTATAATAAAGTAGCAATGAGCTACACATCCTCAGCTATGTCTGGCATGAAAACTGGCAAAGCCACTTACAGAAGGCCTGGAAATGATCATCCTGAAGAACAGCAAAACTGTGCACAGTGAGAAGGAGGGGTTTGTTCATAGTCAGGGCACTAGAATATAGATGGCTCCAGAAGTGCATTCAGAGCACAAATGACTGCTTTTTCATGGGGCAGTGTTTTACCTTATTACATCTGGTTCTGTGCCTTCATTTTTGAAAGATGCCTGAAGTTGTCTATGACGTGTGAGAAGCTCATCCACCAAGTTCTGCCTTCTGTCTCCTTCAAGTTGGGTTCTACAGGAACTGGGTTAAGGCTGGTTGTCAGAAATAAATGAGTACAATTGCTACTCCTGTCATTTTCACAAATGCAAAATATTTCACCTTATTTTACAAATGTACTGAATAACAGTAAGGTAAAGGTAAAGGTTCCCCTTGACATTTCGTCCAGTTGTGTCCAACTCTAGGGGGCGGTGCTCATCCCCATTTCCAACCCATAGAGCTCGCATTTGTCCGAAGACAATCTTCCGTGGTCATGTGGCCAGCGTGACTAGACATGGAACGCTGTTTACCTTCCCACCGTGGTGGTACCTATTTATCTACTTGCATTTTGCATGCTTTCAAACTGCTAGGTTGGCGGGAGCTGGGACAAGCGATGGGGGCTCACCTCATCGCGTTGATTCGATCTTACAACTGCATGTCTTCTGACCTTGCAGCACAGAGGCTTCTATGGTTTAAGCCGCAGCGCCACCATCTCCCCCGAATAACAGTAAGACATGTTTTAAAAACAAGCCATGGAAGAAGTCATAACAACTATTAGCGAAAGTCAGATTGAAACTTTTAGTTACCTAAATGGCTGTCCATTTGGTTGGAAGTGCTATAGTGAAATGTCTGATGTTACAGAAATGCAAAGATTGCAAAGATTCTGTACTTGGATTTTCCCAAAGTATTAGAAAAACATTTGCCTGGAATTCTACTTAATCACCTGGTGCCTTCTCCAAAACAGAATGATGCACCTGTTCTCATATCATAGGCATTCCTGTTATCCTAGCTCTTTTAGAAGGATACATCTGGCGTGTAGACACAGAGTGAAACAACAGGTCCTTGAGACGATCAGTCTTTTCTTTGAGATTCTGTAATAGTGACCGGATGGCAACAGTGAGCTGAAGGGAGACAGAGAACAAGCAAGTATGCCCACAGTAAATGAGCAGAGATGATTATCCAAAAATAGTGGCCAATAAGTAAATAAAACGGAATATTTATGTATGCTACACTTATCAAACTTTCCACAGGCAACCAAAATTTTTTCAGGCCTTTGAATTTTAAAATGGCTTTTACCATGACTGTAAAGAATAATTTGATTCACATTCATATTTACAGTGTGATTTTATTGTACATTGTTTTAAGAGGCCCGGTAAATAGAAAAGTGATTTTGTAAATACTATAAAGAAATCAGTTCCTCAATCCATCTACAACCAAAGAAAGAAATCTTCTAGGATTCTTTAAAAAAAACCCCTCTAAACTCCAATTCACCAAACACGAAACATACACCTACAGACAACATCATTTTCCTATATGATTATTGGCCTGCTAATTCTTAATTCAAATGTGACTCTTGTTTTTGAGTGATAGTATTTCCTAAAGTGGTCTCAAAACCAAGGCCTGATGAAAAAGAAAAGGAACTACTGATATTGGAACAATGATTCAACTTGAATAATAATCATGTGCCGTCAAGTCAATTCTGACTTATGGTGACCTTTTTCAGGGTTAGAACGTAATAACATAAGAAGAGCCCTGCTGGATCAGGCCAAGGGCCCATCTAGTCCAGCTGCCTGTATCTCACAGTGGCCCCACCAGATGCCTCTGGGAGCACACGAGACCACTGGATCACTGTCTCCTGATAGCCCTCCCCCTGCATCTGGCATTTTAAGGTACAGTGGTGCCTCGCTTACCGATTTTAATCCTCCCCCTGCATCTGGCATTTTAAGGTATCTTCCTTCAATTACGGACCATAACCTGCAATGGACTTTTCCTCCAGAAATCTGTCCAATCCCCTTTTAAAGGCATCTAGGCCAGAGGACATCACCACATCCTGTGGCAAGGAGTTCCACAGACTAACAGCACACTGAGTAAAGAAATGTTTTCTTTTTTCTCTTTTCACTCTCCCAACACTCATCCGGTGGGGGGAAGATCGGATGGGTTCCTGCCTTCGTTCCCCACCACCCGGCTTCTCCCAAAGAGCTATCCCGATGGTGCTTACAGCAGCGGAGAAGGTGCCCGGTGGGGGGAAAATGTCAGATCGGCTCCTGCCTCAGGTTCTAGTACTGTGTGAGAGGGAAGAGAGCTTCCCTGTAACGACTTTATCCATCCCCTGCCTAATTTTATACGTCTCAGTCATGTCCCCACTCAGGCGCCTTTTCTCTAAATTAAAGAGCACCAAGCGCTGCCTTTGCTCATAAGGGAGGAGCCCCAGCCCAGTCATCATTTTAATCGCTTTCTTCTGCAGCTTTTCCAGTTCCACAATGTCATTTTTGAGGTGCGGTGACCAGAACTCTACGCAATACTCCAGGTGCGGCCTTGCCAGCATTTTATACAACAGCCTTATAATGTTGGCTGTTTTATTTTCACCCCCCCTTTTATTGATATCTAGTATGAAATTGGCCTCCTTCACTGCTGCCGCACACTGGGTTGACACTTTCATCGGTTTTCCAGGTAGAGAGTACTCAGAGTGGTTTACAATTTCGTCCTTTTTGGGGCATCCTGCTTTGCCCAAGGCCACACAGACTGGCTCTACTTGATATCTAGCATGAAATTGGCCTCCTTCACTGCTGCCGCACACTGGGTTGACACTTTCATCGGTTTTCCAGGCTCTACTTACAGGAGTCACACTGAAGAATCGAACCCCCGACCACTGGCTCTGCAGCCAGATACTAAACCACTGGTTTCTCCAATTAAGCTGCAACAATAGATCATTCTATTTTCATCAAAGAGCACCAATTAGCCTCCATACCACCACCATCAAAACTGACAGCCACTGGTCCAAGGAGCCTCGGGTGGCCCTGATTAGCCAAGTTAGCATGGCCTAGTGAGGAAAGCCAACAGGCAAAGCATGGCTGAAAGAAGGCTGCTCCTCACCTGCAGTACACTGTGTATCTTGTGGGGAACTTGGTGCAAAATACTTCATCAACAACCTCATTGTGCATCAGGCTTTCAGACATAGCACAACAGCCCCCTTGCTGTGATCTATTGAAAGTCAAAGACCAGTAAATTGTAAAAAGGTAGTATAAACTGACAGTTAACCCAGTTCATGTCTAGGAACTCCTAGAATCTCATGTCACTATAATCTAAGATAATGAAGCAATGCCATCCACTCGCAAGACCTTTCCCAGGCTACAGCCTATTGTGAACGGAAAGCTCCTACGGCCACCCAGTGTCTGATACCATAACAATTTAATAACAAACCTGTGTTATGTATACATTTGTTTAAAGTCATAACAAAGATGGAAGACAGATTCACAAACACTCCATCAAAAACACATTTACTTGAATTAATATCCTTTGATTTTTAAAAGAACGAAAATTTAACACAATGTCCAATAAGTAGTGTTAAGAACAGACTTGTATCATCAGGAAATTATAGTAGAAGAGGTTAAGAAAACAGAAATCAACATTTTGAGGCCACTATCCACTAGAAGGGGCCTATGCAAGACAAGGTAAATTTCAACCCCATGAGTTGAAACAAAAACAACAAAGTGTTTTGTAGCTAAAATCCCTGAAAGCTTGAGTTAAAACTTACTAGTCTTTGAAATGCCACAGGACTGTTTTGCTTTCACTGCAACATAGATAACTACTTGGAAATTCCTATAACGGGTTGAAACGTAACTGCTCTTCAGTAATTACAGACTAGTATACATCATATGAAATGTTTTTTTACAGGACAGCTCTCTGTGGACTTACATTAACTAACCATTTCATGTTTTTTAAACTGGGAAGGAGGTCGTTTTTAAAAGTGTAGAAAAATTGCAACCTCCAATTAAACAGAAGAGGGGAAAAGAGAAAGGGTTTGAATTAACTATACAGTATTTTGAGAGACAAGAAAATATTTGCATAGTTTGAGGCCCTCCTTATCTTACCTCCAGTTCTCAGTGGATTAAAATTGTTCCCTGTTCTCAACACACATTTTTAAAATGTGCAACTGCATAAATGTGGCAAAATCCCCCCCAAAAAGACAAGCAATTGGTTTTTTCCCCCAATCGACAGATAGAGTGGAAGGACAGTTTTGTTCATTAAATTTTTTTCTGGCCACAAAGAACATGACTGATGTATTGAGTGTTTTTCAGCATGAACCCATAATGTCAGTTCTTATGGCAATAAATACTGCCATTGTGAAAAGCCTACTTACTTTGGACTCAAATGCTGGCTCTTCCTGCTAGCTCACCAAACAAGTGCTTCGAAACTCTACTAACAGAAAAAAAAGAACATTTTTCTTCATAAAAACTACTTGCTAACTGATTGGTGTGCTTCATAAGATGAGCCATGCTGCCTAAATCATCAGAGGTGTGCAGTGTTCTTAATGCAAGACATATCCTCATATTAGAAAGCCACTCTGGTTACAGATACTCTCCCATGGAAAAAGCCCTCAAATATTGGAAAGACTGTTGTCCAACAGAAGGGAAAAGGAAGCCTGAGAAATAATTCACCTATTATAGAACAGAAAATGCTATTCCTGGAAGAAGACTGTGGCAGATACCACTCAGTAAAAATATGACAGTTACTGAGTTCTTCAATTCAAAGGCCTAGATCTGAAGGCAACTTTGGCAAGTGTGCTTGAGGAAGGTTATGAAACACCCATGATAAACTTTATTAAGAAACAATTTTTTAAAAAGTAAAGATTGTAGGCAACTTGTTAAAGTGAATGAAATATAACTCATTTTTTAAAAATCTCAAAATTTATACAGGATATCTACAGTGGACCCTTGACTTACAGACGGCTTGATTTACAGACTTTTCGAGTTACAGACTTCTCTGGCTGCAAAATTTAGGTCCGACTTGCAGCCGGAGAATCGACCTACAGACCAGAAAAAAACAAAAATGGAACAAAACCGGCTGGTTACGGGATTAATCAGTTTTCAATGCATTGTAGGTCAATGGAGACCTACAGACTTTTCGACCTGCAGCCACCGTTCCAATATGGATTAATTCTGTAAGTAGAGGGTCCACTGTAAATAAATTAAGTAAGACTGGTAATATACTTTTAGTACATTATAAAAGCATGATCATACATATCATTTCATAAAGTGGCATGGGCTCCAGGGGGAAGTATAAAACACTGTTGTTCTTTCTATGACTAATAAGAATGTCTCATGGATACCTGAATTTAATAACATATGCAGTTATTCTAACAGCTAATCCATTAAAGCCAAGTTCCAGTCCTGTCTTTCCAACTATCTAAATTATAAACTTGTTCAGTGTGATACAAATTTGCACATGCTTAACATGTAAATATAGTACTAAATGAGACATGTAGACATTTTACTGGGTGTATGACACTAATCCCCGTAGATAAGGTTCTACCCTTAATACAAGCGACAGTAAATAATGACAGAAGCAAGGTAGCACAAAACATCCTTCTTATGAGCACCATTCTCCAAGGAGAAGATTGAAATCTAGAGTTTCTTAAATCCTACTAAAGCACTAACAGTTGGACCAGAGAAGGTCAGACTAGGTCTATAAAGAGCTAGTATCTGGTGGAAAGCAAGGAACCGGCTGAGCAGCTAGCACCAGGGTATAATGCTGGATGTGTGGAAGTTTCTGAAGAGATTATGAAATAGTGTTGGATAATCTAAGAACCATTTAGAGAAATGGAGATATTCACCTGCTAGAACAACAACGTGTGGATGCGGAGGACACTAAACCACCACACAACACCTCTATCAATCTTCATTATAGATTAGAGTGGTCACAATCGACCAGATAGGCGGGATCGTCGTTAAGCAAGGCACCACTGTACTATCATCAAATGTTACTTGGTCTTTTTTCAGCTGCAGATGCCAAAGACTGGGTCGTGATGCTTCTTTGTGTGTACCTTGTCCTTTGCTGCTCAACTATGGTCTCATAGGGAAGAATGACAAGCAGCATCATAGCTGAATAGTGAAGTACATACTTTGCATGTAGTTATGTCCTCCAACATGCAAGGAAGAAGATCTTGTCAGGGGAAGAGATGATGCAATTGATGTAGTACAATTTGGTCCATGCTTATTTACCTCTTCTAATATACAGTTAATCACATATTCTTCAATTTTTCATATATCCTTGTTTCATGTTTTTAATGGTTTACTTTTAATGTCTTGTGAATATTAATACAATCCTTGCAATGCTCTCACATAAATAAACGAACTAACATTTTAAAGAGAAGTTTCTACCAGTTTTCCATTGCAATACTACTTCTAACTCAGCAGTTAGACACATGTAAGTGAATCTAATTCAAAATGGAGTCAAATGGGCAGTTCCGCAACACATGATAGTATAAGCCTAAAAATGTACACACTCCATAATACCTAGTGCTAAGGCCTTTGTTAATATAACTGTTCCTTAGCAGAACCAAGTAACAGTGGTTTACCACCTTAATGGTTTGTTCATGTATGCTTACAGAAATCAAATTCACAGAAGTCTTTTTCCACAAGAACTAGACTTGAGTACTCAATAGTGCAGTATACTTCATTTTCATACAATTTTAAAACCCAGATAATGTACCATAAAAGGTCCAATAGTATAAACATATTTTAAAGTGAGAATTCTGTCTTAATTAGATTGTAAAATGTGACTGTCAAATGCTTGTCAAGGGTAGAACAGTTTGTGCTTTCGCTTTCAGACAGGAAGCAAAATGTACAGCCTGGCAGATTTTCATTCCAGACACTTCCACCAAATTGAACTGTTTATGATCCTGTGTCTCTTGCTTGGGATCAAATCCTCTATAAAATAGCTTCAGTGATAAAATCCTTGAGCTTTCCACAGTCTAAACTGAAATTATTTATTCTGATCAACAAAGAAAGAGTGGCACAGGAAATGGTTAGCAGAGAAGAAGGAGGAATAAGTTTCCTTCCACATTTTCAGGATATTATTTTAAAATGATTTCAATTTAGAAGATATAAGATGTAAGAAAGAAATACCTTGTACTTCACCACTGAATAGATTTCAAATGTTGAGCTTAAAGCAAGACTCTACTTAAGAACTGTTTATCAATATTCTTCACTACGATAGCTGGTAATCAATGTTGTGTGAATTCAAGTTTGACATTCCTAATCTTCCCATCACACTGTGTTCATGGCATAAAGATGAGTGATATCTGGTCATTTACCATTGTTAATGAAATGAGAGATAAAAGTTTGCCATTTTGAGAAACAGTGTTTTGCCAGTGGCCAGAATAGTGGTGTTTTTTTTTTTAAAGAATTTTTTGAAATAATGACATCTTGATTGCAGTTATACAGTTAATTACAGAAAGCTTAAATTTATTCCATTCCTGTAGCAGAAGCTTACTAGATCAATGAGAGCATTTTAGGCAATTTTGTAGAGTAATTCCAAGGTATTTTAAAGAATTAGAATTGACCAGAACATTAGTATCTGCAATTAGCTGATCTCTGAGAGTGTTATGGGCCAGGATGTTTTATTTCTTTGTTGAGTTCCAGAACTGAAAAACTGCCATGTTCATTTAATGTGTTTAATATTGGGTATTTCATTCAAGTGATTAGAAACCATTACTGCATCCATCAACAGCAGAAAAAAAAATAGATATATTTTACCACTGATTATTAACCTCTGATAACTTCAGATCATTGTGTATGATGTTCGCTAACAGCTCTTGGCAAAACAAATAAAATTAGGTGGAAAGGTGATATCCCTGCTTTGTGTCTCCCAAAAATTTGCTGGAAAGAATCAACATACCGGTAGTTGATTTTTTTTAAAAAAAAAGTATTTTTGTGCAGAACAGAAAGAGCAACTTTTGAACTAAGTCCCCTTCCCATTTCTATCATCCCACATGCCTTAAAGATGCTTATCTTCTCAGTTTCCTGAAAGCTTTGGAGGTATCAAATGGGGCAGTGGTGTGGGGCAGAAAAGAACTTTTGGCGTAAAGGGATACATTTAATATTTGCCTTATTTGGTCCAAAGTTTTCCTAAATCTTATGAAACCAAATTATTCCTCTTTCATAAAGTTTATATCAAACAAGTCTACTTGTCTACCAGGATACTTGTAAATAGCTTCACATTTTGACTGATAATTGTACTAGGACAATATGAATCAGTACCACTATGATATCTGCCACATTTAGGGATTAAAACAATTCTGGTATGCTGCCACAAATCTGGAATGTGATTCCCAAGCAGTATTGAATTACAAAGGCAGAGACAGAGAAAATTTCATCTGTACATTTCTTATAGAAGTGGGCTTGTCCACAAAAGCTCAGATTAAAATATAGCAGTTATTCTTTAGGGTACCACAATGTTTTTGTCCCCTTTTTTTTCCTCCTTTGTTTTTGCCTTTATAGAAGACATAGAGCCCATTAAGACTAGGAAACTTCTGAGGTTTTAATTTTTTGAATTGCTTTCTAGTTCATTTATGGAGATTTTTAGAGACAATAAAGTATTGTGGTTTGGAGTGAACAGAGGTTAGCCTCCTTTATTCCGAAGAGAAGAAATAATATAATTCAAGGAAAAAGTAAAGGAACAGAGGGATTTTTTTAAAGTTTGTAAGCAAATGATTACATTCAATGAAACTGAAAAGTTTTTGCCCTCTGGATTTTTTAATTAAAGGGAATGAGCGTCCATATCTTTGTTTAATAGGGTGAACTAAAACCTTGAATATCTGTTATTAAATTCATTGTACATTTGATTAATAAATTGCAAATCTTTTGTATTTTATTCATATCCAGTACTTTAAGTTCATTTCTTTTAAACTTCAGTTTGTGTAAGAGTTTTTTATGTGTATTCCTGTACGTTTATCTTCCAAATACTTAATTTTTCTTATCAGTCAGTTTCTAGTGAGAACCATACTTTTAAAAAAAAAAATGAAGACAAATTCTTTTAGATATTTACCTTTTATAGTGGCTTTAAAAAAGCTGTAAAATAAGCTAATATCTGAGATGTTCTTTTCTGCTAGCATCTGTGAGATCAAGTTCTTTATTTTTATTTGTTTGTTTAGTGTTCTGCTAAAGAAAAAGTGATGCTACTAGCTAACCAAAAGGTTTTGGATATTTGTCTTATAAATGTAACTTGCAAAGAGGGGACAAAAAGAAAAAAAAATCAACCAAGACTTCAAGCACTTAGGCTCCAGTTATTTGATAGACAATTAAGGGAGACAGTTCTACCCTAGCACCCCCTATATCTGTTTTATTTTAATGTTCATCATCTCTGGCCCATGGGATCAATGGGCAGCAGGTTATTAGAGGCTACTCTAGGGAAATGAGCTCTGAGTTACAAGGAAGAATACCTAGCATACCGGGTCTGTGAAAAAGATACTCCCTGTTATTCTTGTAAAAAAATATAAAGCAAATAAGGAGGGTGGCTTTTGAAGAATACTGTACCTTAGTTGTACTTTCACCGTTCCTCTGATATCTGTTGCGTTCTTGAATCTTTTCAGCAACCTCCTGGGCAGTACGGCAAGTAGAATCATACATCGACAACCTTTGAAAGAACAGGATGTATCATTAAGGCACACTTCTCATGTTTTCATTTTCAGTGTTCATCAGAAAAAGTTCATTAAGTGCTTGACTTCAACACCCGTAAAATAACTGTGCTGAAGTCAAACAGCTTCCATACTGGAAAGATAAGCCCTCCTCAGGCTTTTCCCAGAGAAGGAAGACATTGCAACAAAGATTCCAAGTCGTCAATTGCTACAAAATTTAGAAAGATATAAAATGGGGTATGTTGAAAAATATTAATCTGTATGAAATGTTCTAGGACACCAACATAATTTATAAGCAACAAGCAGAATCTGGGGTTATATGCATCTATAAGTATTCAGGAACACTGTTATTGAATTTGTTTGTTTGTTTTTAAAAAAGACCTCTAGTTTTTGAATGTGTGATATTGTGCTTTTGCATCCATGATTCAACAGGAAATGGTCCAATAATCTCATCATGACTGCAGTGTCTGATATTTCCTGCATTGGCAGGGGGCTGGACTTCATAGTCCATGGGCCCCTTCCAGATCTACAGTTCTATGATTGTATGATTGCTATACAATATTGTGCCCACACTGCCAGCGGGAAAAAGGATGCCAAACTTTACATTGCAAAGGGCACCATGAATGTTGATGATACTTATGTCAGCCGTCAAGATCATCTACACAGGATATCCTCTTGTACTCACTACCATTTCTTCTAGGCATTTTGATACCTAGAGAATTTGCTGAAAAACGCTTGCAACTGCTTTGTATTTTAGTGAGAAGTGGTTAAGTGATGAAAACAAGAATCAAGTTCTGTGAATTTCTTCTGCTTGGTGTCTTTTTGTGAATGGTAATGAGCCCAAGAGGGTATAATAGAATCATAGAAGAGTGAAGTTGGAAGGGACCCTCAAGGCCATCAAGTCCTACCCCCCTGCTCAAGGCAGGAATACAATCAAAGCATATCTGCTATCTAAGTTTTTCTTGAATGCCTCCAGTGTTGGAGCACTCACCAGCTCGCAAGGTAACTGGCTCCGCTGTCATACTGCTCTAATAGTTAGGATGTTTTTCCTGATATTCAACTGAATATCTGATATTCAACTGCTGTCCTCTGAAGATGCCGGCCACAGAGACTGGGGAAACGTTAGGAAGAACAACCTTCAGAACATGGCCAAAGAGCCCAAAAACCCCACAACAGCCAATTGTGAAGAGGTTTTTGGGGGTGGGGGTGGCTAAGGACAGCAAATGACTGAAAGGACTGAGGTCCTTTGCTGAGCATTTAGAGGTTTTTTGGGATGGTGGTGGCTAAGGACAGCAAATGTTTGGGTTGGACCATGTAACACACAAACTAAGACAGAAAGGACTGAGGTCCTTTGCTGAGCATTTACAGAACCCTCTCACAGAAAATAAAGCTTGCAATGAGTTTTACAATACAAGTTATAGATGTATTGTAACAATGAATGTTAAACAACTACACTGAAATACAGAAGTCCAGTATCACTATGCTGTGAAATGCTCAATATATGATATTCTTAAATCCATCAGGTTGAATCCAGACCTACCCATACGTACTTAGAACAGACCTGCTGAAACAAATGGAATTTGGGTTAGCCACTGCTAACTTAAATTCCATATTTCATTGATATAATCCAGGAGTAAGTAAAATGCACTCCTCCAGATGTCACTGGGCTATAACTCTTATCAGACATTTTCAGCAAGACCCATGGTGAGCAATGCTGGGAACTATAGTCTAAAATCTAAAGAGTCACACTTTGCCCCTCTTCCAAAGTACTATAGATTCTTGATCCAACCTGATCAGTTTTCAGTTAAATATTAATTACAATGTGGAAAAGATCTATTTAATCTCCCAAAACTGTTAATCAGCAGCCCCCCTACAACATCAATAACTATTCCTAACATTGGACAGCAAAAGGCCCAAAGGCTCAGGTCCCTTGATTCTGTAAATAGCCCAGGGTCAATCCATACTGTCTCCTTCTGCATTCATATTACGGGGATGTATTTCAGAAGTACATAATGCTTAGAATGTGGTTTAAATAGTAGAGTGTACTGCTTTCACCTTACTGCTTTCACCAGTGCTCATAGGAGCAAATTTATGAAAATAATTTGCCAGTTTTAGCATGACAGGATGATCCTGGATAAACAAAAACACTCTGTAGTGAGAAATGGTTTACAAGGAAGGCTCAATACTCCACACACGAAAAAACACTTTGTAACTGCTAGGACTTATAAAAACCATCAATGGTGGCCTTTTATAGTTGTAAACATTAAATGTTTAATATGTTAGTCATATTAAACAGATAATTCTAGCAACTGCAATTTGCCTCAAAGGAAAAATCTGTACCACTTCAATTTTCTCTCCAAGGCACGTCTGTCAAAAGGCGGAGGGGTCTTTGCCTTCCTCTGCCTCCGATCCTAGTCCTGCAGGGATGCCCAGATATGGGCCCCAGATGTTCCTGCACTACAACTCCCGCAAGCCCTGATCGCTGGCTGAGCTCAACAAGGGCTTCTGGGAGTTGTAGCCCAAGAGCACTGGGGTCTCCCTTCACCACCACGGTCAAAGAGGCCCCTGGAGAAACTGTGCCCAGGAATTGTCCCCTGCTGGACAGCGAGGAGAACCCAGACTCAGAAATGAGGGCGGGGCGGGTGTGTGTGGAAAA